TTGTTTATAAAGCATATATCTTTAGATTTCTAAGCAGCATCTTATTTGGCAAGATCCTATTGTTACAACCTCACCACTCGGTTATTTTTCACCATCCGAAATGCTCTTTAGAGGCAATATGCAGAAAATCTTTATCTTGCAGCCAAATTCACTCCGGATCCCCCTATGAATTAACACAGTCAGAAAGAAAAGCAAGTGCTCTGTTCAATCCAGCCTCGTGCAGAATCGAAACCAGGGATCAAACACACTGTCTGTGAATCCATCATAAGTTTGCCGTCTTTGCTTTCGCTGTAATGTAAATTTTCCCCACTGAAATCAGAAAGCCTAAGGGTATTAGCATTGCAGTAAAGCTGGTTCCATGCAATCATTACAATGAGCCACCGTGAGAATAATGTCAACTTGTATAAATTCTGTGCAGACTTACTGAAGGCATAAATGGCTTTTTTTGGGGGGGGGGGGATAGAAGAGGGGATATATTACAGCTTCATAGCTACTCTTTAAGCTCTTATTATTAGTAAGATTTTCAGCTACAAATGTTGCCAGAGCTACCAGGAATTCCACCGAATCTATTTGATGAGCCAGATCCTGAAGTGAATGGAGCGATGTCAGTTTCCCCCAGCTGAGGATCTGGCTTTACATATTTACCATGGTGCTGAAGCAGGATGTGCGTGTCGAGCTAGGTGATGATCGGTTCCGACCCCCTGCCAGAACAGCATGGGGACGATCGCACAACAGAGGATAGGAAACCGCTGCTGTGCTGAATCTTAGCCAGGCTGCTGCGTACTGCCAGGCAGCCAACAGCTGCGACGGGAGCAGGGTTGAGCCCGAGAAGTGAAGGCAAGTCGTTTGCAATGGCAGAGCCAACTGTGAGGCCTTTGGAAGGGCGTGGTGCCGAGGGAGCAGCAAGAGAGGATGTTGGGTTTCGCAGTGGCGGGTTGGCTAGGTGGGAGGGAAGCCAGGTAGGTGTCAGGAACTGTCAAAACATGGGCCAGGGTTCTGAGGGAAGGAAGGGAAGGATCTTGGAGATGTTACAAAGGAAGAAGTGGCAGGATTGAGCAGCCAGCTGGGATGTGAGGGGCGACATACAGGTTATGCCTGCACTGCACCACGGGCCTGCACACCTGTTAGCTAGCCCAGCGAAAAATACCAGTGACAACAGGGCAGCATGTGTCAGTGTCCAGGACGTGAGTGGTTGAGCCCAGTGGTTAGAACAGGCGTCAGGCCTAGTGGTTAGAGCAGGCGTCAGCGCCAAGAGTCAGAACCAGAGCTCAGGGTGAGAGCTGAGATCAGGAATCAGAGCCGAGGGTCCGGTCCGGGTTACCTGGAGTGAGAAGAGTGAGTGCTTTGAGCAGCTACTGACCTGCTGCTGCTGCAGGGCTTAAAAGCCAGGCTGCTGATGCTTCCAGCCAACCGGGCAGTCTACTACGGGCCGGCTGCGCTCGGTAGATAATCTGGAGATTGACTCTACTGCAGGCCCTGATTCCTGACAGGATGGGCATCAACTCAGGCTAGCTATGCAAGTACTTGCGAGGGTCCCCGGTGTGCTTGGACTGCCCACGCTACAGCCCCTGCCACTGCATCTACACAGCTGTTTTTAGCCGTGCTAGCTAGATTTTTAGCCTGTGCTGCAGTCACACCACTGATCTCAGGGTAATTGCACCCTGCAGTGCGAGCATAGAATCACTGGCGGACTGCATGTGATGGAGGAGGAGGATGGGGACAGCTTGCTGGGGGGAGATGACGAAATGTGTGTTGCGTTTGTGATTGTGGCGTCTGGGAAAAGAGGCCTGAGAGACAGCGGCAGATGCGTGTCTGTGCAGACTGCATCAGATCTGTGTATCTGCTGTTCACAGCATGCCAGTCACCCCAGTATCTAGGCAGCCTGCTATCAGGTCAATTGCGGGTGTGTTTGCAGCTTACCATCATAGGATATCAGGGTTGGAAGGCACCTCAGGAGGTATCTAGTCCAACCCCCTGCTCAAAGCAGGACCAATCCCCAGACAGATTTTTGCTCCAGATCCCTAAATGGTCCCCTCACGGATTGAACTCTCAACCCTGGGTTTAGCAGGCCAATGCTCAAACCACTGAGCTATCCCTCCCCACAAAAGCAGCTCTCCCTGGCTGTCCCAGAGGAAGAATCGCTACCATCTCCGCTGTTGGGTCCTTAGCAGCAATCGCAGTACATCAGAATGTCCCTTTGAGAGAAGTCACCTGGGTTCTGTCACTCAGCTAGGGCAGCCAGGCACTTCAACGGGCCTCCTCTTATCCGGGGGATTCTACCTTACAGGAAATGGGGGGGCTGCTCGGCAGCACGTATTGTGCCCCTAGCTGCTGGGGCAGTTCTTTGATCGTCTCGTCTACGGTGGTTTTTCCTCCCCTTCTCCTGAACCTTTTGTGAAACTTAGTTCATGTGCCACCAAAGTGGCTAGGTTGTTCTTTTATTCAAATGAAGTGGGAGTGCGGCTAGGATCTCTTTCGAACCTGGGGGCTTGGGGCAGTGGCCAAGAGGTTAGTTCTCTATCAGTAGTCCAGCCCAGGGAAAGCACAGCTTGGAGAATTCTTTATTTTAGTGGAGGGGGGGAAGAATCCAAAGAAGAAAAATCTTCTCGCTGCTGCCGGAGGGTGGGCAATTGGGGATGCGGGCGACTGGCTGCTGCGGCTCATGCTAATGCCTAGGCTGGTGTACGTCACCCCCTCCAGTGTCTGGCAGCTGGATCTCGTAGCAGGGCCGGCTCCAGCTCGCCGGGAAGCAGGGCGTGCGAGTCGAGCTCCGTGCCTTGATGGGAGTCACTTGGTGAGGAGCTCTGACAAGCTAGACAGCTGCTCCCTGGAGTCCCGGCGGGTGGGAAGCCGTTTCAGGGTGAACCAGCAAGCCGTGTTCTATGGAAACAGCCAGTGCTTACCAGGGCTGGGACAGCCTGGGCACCCCGCTCCCCCTTAGTCCCAACCCTAAGGGCTTGGTCCCACTTCGTCTCCCCTTGCCAGAGACAGCGGCCTAGGCAGAACATGGCTCACCGGGCTTTGACCGCGGAGGGACAGCTCCACCAACCAGGAGCGGATTCGGTGCAGTATGCACTGTGCAGCTGTTGCTTAACTGCCCCCCCTTAGCTGGTGTTCGTCAGCCGGATGTTCACGCCCCCTTGTTCCACCTGGCATGAAGCACCATGTCCCATTGGGCGATGGGCTGATTACCCCATCCCTTTTCCTTATGCAGTGTGTTATGTGCATGGGCCCTGCGTACACCCTTTATTATTACCTTGTTCAGCTAGCCCCACCCGGGTGGGACCTGAGGGGCGCTGTGATGAATCTGGGGGATGAGACCACCAGGGGCTGGAGCAAGGATAGCGGGATGGCCTCGAACTCCTGGATCCCGGGATCCCCACCAAGTTTTGAGTGAGGGGTCCATATCCTTTCACAGGGTGGGGGCAAACCCAGCCCCTCTCCAATGACATGCTTTTGGGAAAACTCTGCAAGACATTCCTCATGGAGATTTCCACCGGGAGAGCCCCTCCCCACGGATTGTACCACAGGAGCGGGCCCACTGGCCCCTCATCCTTACGCTGGAGTCCTCCATTCCTTGCTCTGCCACTCACCTGCCAAGTGGTCTTGGCCAAGTCCCGTTAACTGCACTTCCCTATTTGTTGTGAGGCTTAATCAAGTGCTTTGGGATCCTCGCACGGATGGTACCCGGGAGGTGTGAACATTGTTAATAAAATTAGAGCTTTGCCCCGTAGGAAATTCAGATTCCCTCCTCCCCCACGTCACTGAAAGCACCTGACCCGCAACGGTTCTAAGAAAGGCTGGACACAGCCCCATGCGTTGTGGACCTGGCGTGGTTGATGGGGAGTCCGTTTGATCCCTTTGCTCGTTGTAGGGGGGTAGCTCTTATCGATGTCAAGGAAGAGCAATTACTGAGGAAGATGAAGGACTGCACATGTCCTGGGTCGGGAAGGCCAGTATCCATTAGATAGCAATTTATCCTCCTATGGAACATCACACATGAAATGTGCCAATGAAAAGACCGAAGCCGTGATAAAGGTGTCTCCGCCGTCACCCTCCAGTCTGTTCTAGTCCGACTATTGCTAGATACCTTTCATATCCCACATCACAGCTTGCCAAAGTCTGTTTTATAAGCTGCATATTTGCGGAAGTGTAGAGCCCAATATGGAGGCATCCGTGAGGCGTTTAGCCATGGGACAGCCCGTGATTCTGTTACCATCATTAATGTACCACAATCCTGGGATTTATAATCCGGCCAAGGTGATCTTTAAATTGACAAGAGCCTTTTGCCAATGCTTCATCTCTTCAGAGGACTGTGCAAAGACTCGGTAACCCTCCCAAACCCCTCTTCAGCCCTCGCTGGTCATAGCCCCATTTTGCAGATGGGGAAGTTGAGACGCTGGAGGTTAAGGTTCAACATTGCAAGTGCCTTTTAATTCCAGGTGTCCAGCCGGGGCCTGAGTTCCAGAGATGCTGACACCAGTAACGGCCGTTGACGTCAGCACTTCCGGAAAGCAGGCCCTAGGAGTCTCCAGTTGGACCCACCCAAGGGGGTGGGGCAAGGCTTAGACAGCAAGTGTGAGGCCCAGCTGAGACCTGGGCTACAGAGCTCCTGGCTTCCAATCCCATGCGTCTCACTGGTAGGCAGTCCCAGCCGCTGGCCAGTGGGATGGCTGATAATATCTTCAGTAATGCATGTGAAGATCAGGGTCAGAAAAGGCTTTAGGGTGTAAACGGATGGCCCCCAGGACCTGGGAGGAGCCCCTCCCTCCTCCCTCCCAACGTGGCTCAATCAGCCAGGAGCAAGGTGGGACTTTGACCCGAGGGCCGCAGGGTGTATGTGCGGGAGAGCTGCATGGCCCCTCTCTGACGCATTTAAACCAGAGCCATCAGTCCCTCACTTCTGCAAGCTGCATTTAGAAGGAGAGACAAGGGCCCTGTCCCCAGGGGGTGCCCCTGGCCTTTCCCTGTCCCTCACTGGCTCTGTCTCTCCTCTGCAGGTACCGTGGGCATGTCCCCAACACGGTGTTTTCCTTTGGCGACACCTACGGGAACACCACTCTGAAATACTTCCAGGATTTCCGCAATGCTGCCATGGAGACCAGCCGCTGCCCCTACAGCAAAGGCGGCCAGTTCCCCACCCTCTTCTCGCCCGACCCTGGCTTAGTGCTGGGGTGCAGGGCGCGGGGCTGGGACAGGTGGCTGCACGCCCCTTCCTATTCCCGCTTCAACTTGGATTTCAACCGCTCCGAAGAGCTGAAGGAGTTTTACAAGGTGAGCAGGCGTTTCTCGCGGCGGCATGCCCTGCACGCAACGGCACGGCGGGCGTGATCCAACACGCAGCACCTGAGCGCTACACAGTAGCCGGCGCAAAGCAGTCAGGGCAGCACTTGGGCAGCACCTCGGAAATGCCCTGGACTGAGCCAAAATGCAATCAACACAAATATATAATCAGTCACAACCAAAAGCCAGCGCCCTCGGCCTCTGGCACCCACTCGCCACACTGAGATGGTCTTTTTCGCTGCCCTAATACTGGTTCTGAAGGCAGCTTCTTGAACATAAGCACCTAGGCAGACAGTCACCAGAAAACCCAATTGGCATTGTTTTAGGGGAGGCTCCGGTCGTCCCGTCTCCCATGGTTTGCATGCGTGTGACTGGCATGCAGAGGGAGGAGTCAGTGTGGAACGCAGTCGGTGGTCGCTGAAGAGCAGGGCTCCCCTCCCGAGGTGACCGTGCAGACATCTCTGCGTGTGCTGCAGCGGGCGGGATTGCCTGGGGAGCTGTTTGAGGAGTCGTCGAGCTTTGCTGAGTTGCCGGAGAGAGGGCGTGGTAGCTAAAGGGGGAAGGAATGAGAGTGTAACCCCGCTGGCGCAGCTCACAGCATAGGTAGGGTGACCAGACAGCAAATGTGAAAAATCGCGATGGGGATGGGGGGTAATAGGAGCCTATATAAGAAAAAGACCCAAAAATCAAGACTGTCCCTATAAAATCGGGATATCTGGTCACCCTACAGCGTAGGACACAGCTGGAGTGTAGCCCCATTGCTCAGCACAGCGAAACTTTGTCCGTCTCCCTGAATCTTCACTCTGGAACGGGAGGGGGAACTGGAGCCCAGAGCATGTTATCCCAGTAATAAATAGCGTGAGAGGAGGACAGATGTGTGTGTGTGTGAGAGTGTGGGAGCATGCCGGCTAGGCGCGTCTAATTGCACATGGGAGATGTTCCCCTTGCTAAAGAGAGCAGCATCTCTCTCATCTGACTCGGCCAAGCCGCACGTTTCACGATTTGCGCCCAAACTACAGTGTTGTCTCCCCACTTCTCAGCCATAGTGAAGGCACAGAGCCACGGTGCATCGGGAATAAGTACAGCTTGCATCGACGAATTCCCAAGCCAAGCCCCCGTGCGATTTATCACGATCGTCACTTACTCTGCTGCCCAGAGAGCACTTTAGGGAGGGCAGTTTTAGAAACATGGTTGTTATTATTTCTCCAGCAGCGGAGAGCGTGTTGCGCTTTGCACGTCTCTAGGAAGAGAGGACCCTGCCCTAAGGAATCTATCCCAGCTAGTGGATAAGGCTTTGGGCCCTGGGCCCTGCGTAGGCAGCCTCCCTTCGCAGCAGGAAGGAGGGATGCAGCAGAAGACCTGTTATCTTTTCCCATTGCATTTCCTATTTGGTATTTTAACTCCTTGGTTGCCTGGCCGGCTAATGCAGCTCTGCCCTGTGCCGGAAGCCGGGTTCTGAGTAGTTTGTTTGTCCCACAGCTCTCCCAGAGGCACCGCGAGCATTACCGCGACAAGACCGGGACAGAGCATGTGGTTCCCTACTTTGTGCTGCCGGTCAAGGAGAAGGACAAGTACCCCCACCCTCTTGATCTGTGAGTAGCAAAAGCAGCCCCCAGAAGGGGTGCTGGGTAGCAGCCCTTTCCCCTATGGGCAAGCTTGTCCAATATGGCCGGGGGGGGGGGGGGGGAGAAGGAGGCAGACCTTCCTCATAGCATTTAGCCCAGTGGTCAGTGTACTCCAGCTGAGGAGGAGAGGGGATTTGAAGAAGGATCTGCCACCTCTCTGGTGAATGCCCTACCCCCGGGGCTCTGGGGTATTCTGATGTGGGGCTTTCTCAGTCTTGCCTGTTGAAGCTGTAGGGGAATAATTTAAAAAGTCATTGGAGCAGGGGGCTGGATCCTGGGTCTCCCCACTACTATGTGAGTGCTCTAACCACTAGGCTACAGAGCCATTCTAATGCATGCTGGTGGTATGGCTGGCGCTCTCTCTCTGGTTCTTTCATTATTTATCCACAGTGGAACAGCTTCACCAGGAGAGAGTGAGGGTATGTCTACACCACAGTGGTATAGCTGCAGCACTGTAGTGTAGATGGTTGCTACAGCAACAGAAGGGGCTTTTCCATCGCTGTAGTGACTCCCCCTGCACGAGCTAGGTCAGCAGAAGAATTCTTCCATCGACCGAGCGCTGTCTACACCAGGGCTTAGTTTGGCTTAACTGCGTCTCTCAGGTGTGAATTTTTCACATCCCTGAACATCACTAGGTCAACCTAAGTTTTAGGGGTAGACTTGGCCCGCGGGAGCCCCACACCAGATTTTCCCATTAGCCCCCTGGTGAGATCACTCCCCGGAGAAGTGGCAAATCCCCGTTGAAATCCCTTCTCCCCCTCAGGTGGAGGTGGGATTTGAACCAGGGGTCACCCACGTCCAGGTGAATGCTCTGACTGCTGAGCTAAAAGCCATGAGGGTGGTGCTCCTCCCCCCTGCTCTTGTTAAAGGTACCTAACTCCAAGAGAGAGTTTTCAGCTGAGAATCCCAAGCGGAGGGAGGCATCTCCCACCAGAGGAGTGGGGATTAGCACCCCCCCTCGGCTTGGCCCCACCCATTGGTAGGTTAGGGGAGGAGCCGCCTCTTGTGCCGGCATTTGTGAATCCCGTTCTGGGGCACCTCAATGTTGCCAGGCATTGTGCAGGGCGCTGAGGCGCTGGACTCCGCGTCACCACGCCGCCGGTTCTTTGTGAATCTAGCTCACCGAGATTTAAAAAGCAAACACCCTGCCCTGTGGGACTAGTAACGCCCGGGATTGTGAAAGCACAAATCCATTTCAAACTGGAATGTGCTTCCCTCACTGCTGCTGATTCTGTATTGCACCTGGCAGGTCACTTTCACCTTTGTTCCTGGGCAGTTTCACGTTCTGGGCCTGGGGTTGCTCAACCCCCCACTCCGCCCCAGGCCCTGACCCCTTCCCCCAAACCCCTGCCCCATCCTGCCTCTTTCCACCCTGCTTCCCTCCCCCCCGTCCAGGGGTCTGCCTCCCTCACCCACCAGATCACAGCCCCTGCACCCTGACTGACACAGTGCACTGGGCTTGGCCACAAGGAAACTTTGCAGCTTTCACTGCAGTCTGGACCCCTGGCCTAGAAGCAATAATGGACACCATGTGCAAGAGTGGCGGGAGCCAGGGCAGGATAAGGGTGGAAGCGGAGGGGAGGGGATTGTCTCTCAGGGAGAGCCGAGCTGGCAGGGGGAGCAGTGGAAGCAGTAGCATTAATGTCCTCGGGGGATCGATGTTGATACATCGGGTGTCTCTGGTGGTAGCCATCCACAGCAGTTCATCAGCCGGGAAGATGGATTTGACTGGGTCGGCTGTTTTGCCCCACCCTAAACATGCTAGTAAACCTGGCTCAAGCAACAGCTCCTTGCTGCGAAGGTGGTTTCCAAGCAGGTCCCACAAACCTGAGCTGGAAACCTCCTGGGGCTCTTTTAAGATGGTCACTTTAGACATGGGGCAGATCCCTGGAGGAGGGGGGCTTTAGTGTAGGTTTCCACATCAAGATTCAGTAGCAGGAGGTTACATCAGCGCTTAGCTTCCTTCTGTCTCTGCAGAGAAGAAAACCCTTTCAGAGGGACAGAAGGAGAGCTGCGTGAATACCGGCTTTTGGTTTGCCAGCAATTCCAAAAAAAAAAAAAAAAAACAGGGAAAAAATTGTTTGGGGTCAAAGGCAACGTTTTGTTTTGATTTCGAGCCTTTTTTTTTACATTTTTTCAAAAATCAAATGAAAGGACACTTGGACAGGCATTTCAGAGTGAAAAGCCAGAACGTTTCTTTTTGAAAATGTCAACACAAAATGGTTAGTTATTTTTGGATTATTTTTTTATTATTTGCTTGACCGAACCCATTTGGCGAAATCGATATGAATTAGTTAAATGTTTCCAAGTCACCAACGCTGCATTTTGGGGCCAAAAAAAGTTTTGGTCCTAAAATTTCACCCAGCTCGAAACACCCGGACGCTGGGGCCAGGTTAACAGTCAGGGAGCCCAGGACATGAGTTTGTTCATTATTGCCTGAATCGGTCTCCCTAAAACAGCTGCTCCCGGGCACTCCCAACCCCTGGAATTTCACTGGCCAAATGGATGTTCCTCTGTGGACTAACCTGATTTCTATGCAATCAGGGGAGCTTGGACTCAGTGCATGGATCTCCCCCTGGAGATTTACATGATGCAGTCTGAGCTGGCAAATGGGAATCAGGTTTCAGGCTTCCACTGTTGGCTGGAATTCAAGCCCCCTTCAGCTGAAGAGGAGTGTGGGGCTATGACTTTAATGGCATGCTAGACCTGGCCTTGTTGTTCCGGCTAGCCCAAGCATTTGCGGAGAGATGCAGCCTTCCCACCTCTGCACCCCTGGCTTTCGGCTGCTCACCTGGATTTGTGCCCTTTGAGGAATAAGTCCTGGTGGACACCATCTGATGTTTCTTCAATGCAGAATAGATCAGGCTTTAAAGCTTGTTCCCCACCTGTTACGTCTTGTCTCAATCTAAGATTGTAAGCTCCTTGGGCAGAGGACTGTCTTTTGCTCTATGCCCGTACAGCATACAACACAGCCTGGCTGGGATCGCTTGGGGCTATTGTAATATAAATAATGACAAGCCCTGGACCACACATGGCCATTGCAATCGGAGGAACTTTAATAAGGGTTGAGATGTTAGTCATAGCGTCCTTGGTCAATTCCAGTTTGGGTAACTACACTCAGCCTTCTTAGCAGTTACCCCGGTAATATTAATTGGAGGTAGTATTTTGCACTTCCTGTTCTGATCTCTTGTTAAACAGCTGCCCCGTTCTGTCCCAGAGGTGGGTGCATTTCACTGGTGGGTGAAGTGATCCTACTCCGGCAGTGTCGGTGTCGCTGTTGTTATGGCTTGATATCCAAGTGCTACCAAAGCTAAAACTTCAAGGATCGTTGCTTTTGTTTGTAAAGCTCTTTGGAATGAGAAGGGCACTAAAGCGGCTCTGAATCCGAAATGGCAGCAGGCCCCTGCAGCCCTGGATGGCAAGCCTGCTAACGTGCCGTCTCCAGCAGATACAGTAAAACCCACCCACCCCGACTGGCCAGACTGGGCGCTCGCTGAGTTGGTGAGGCTTGCTCTGGGTTCCGGCCCCCCCTACAGCAACGGGGATGGAGACCGTGACGGGACAGGCGTGACTCCATCAGGTGGTGTGTCTCCTGATGGGCCGTCCCTCAGCGGGGGATTTGCATTGACTCTTCCGCTAGCTCCAGACTTTTGGCCCCTGGAAAGTGTTTCCCCACCAACCAGGTGCTCTGTCTAGGAGGGAGTCACCATCGGTTCTGAGCGTGTCACTATTACATCTCAAAGAGCTCCCATGATCCCTCTCTTCTCCATCCATCCCCTGTCCTTGAGTGACCCCATCCGCTCTCGGGGTTCGGCCGTCCCCTCCATCCTGAGAAGTCTCGGCGGCCCCCCCAGCCCCACCTCCTGCACTTCACTCTCCCGTCACTCCCAGTCCCAGTAAGTCTCATCCTGGATGGCTCACTGTCCCCTCCAGCTCAATAGGGTCAAATCGATCTTTCCTCCCAAACCTGCTCCCCTCCCTCCACCCGGTCCTGTAACTTCTGAGTCCTCCCATTTCCTTCTCCTACTCCTAGTGCAGATCTTCTCTTGTCCTGCACGTGCCTCGATGGGTCAATCACTTGTCCACCCGCTAATCCTCTGCCACCACAACTGCTGCAGTCTCTTCTGCAACCAACCGTGCTTGCCTCCAAAACACTGCCTGAATGGTCCTGCTCCCCGAGAGCTCTGAGCGTGCCCCTGAACCTCCCTTTGAGTCGCTTCCAAGTCTAACCTCTTGTCCTTCCTCTCAGGCCATTCGTCTCCTACTTCCATCTCTGATCTGCTCTCCTTCTGTGTTCCCCATCTCTCCCCCCGCCCCGTGCCTGGCGATCGCCATGCCACCTATGTGCCAGCCGTGGTGCCCGGTCTGTATTCTCCCGCCCCAGCCGTCTCTGTGCTTCCTTCCATGCTGGCCCAGCAGTTAGGAACCACCCTCGCCTCATTCAAGTGATCTGTAATCGCGTCCCTTCTCTGTGCCTCAGTTTCTCTGGCTGTAACATGGGGGTGATGACTTTCCTTTGCAAAGGGCGCTGTGCTCTTAAGACCGAAAGACAGCAAAGGAGAGCTAAGCCTTGCATTATGTCTGCCTGACCTGAGTAACTGTGTAACCTGGCCCTTTCCTGGTCCGTTACATCCTCATTCAGCTGCCAAGCCCGTTGTCTAGGCTGATCAGGACAGTGCTGTTCTAGGAGGAACCTAGCAACCTGATGGGAGCTCTAAACTAATAGTAACACTTGGAAGGAAGACAAAATAGTGATCAATGGCTCCATGTCTAGTTGGCAGCCGGTATCAAGCAGAGTGCCCCAAGGGTCGGTCCTGGGGCCGGTTTTGTTCAATATCTTCATTAATGATCTGGAGGATGGCGTGGACTGCACCCTCAGCAAGTTTGCAGATGACACTAAACTGGGAGGAGTGGTAGATACGCTGGAGGGTAGGGATAGGATACAGAGGGACCTAGACAAATTAGAG